TGGGACAGTTACTCAGTCTCCTCCTGCCTCGGTTTCTGTACCCATGAAATGGTGATGACAAGACTGCACCTTCATAGGGACACAGTGATGAGGTCAGGTCAGGCACATGTAAAGGAGTTTCCCTGAACAGTATGCAAAGAAACGACCCAAATGTGCTTCCATTCTACCAATACTGTCTCTCCCAGAAGCACACAGTGTGTCTGGCACTATGTGTGTGGACAGGACCAGGATCTGAGCAGCACCGTGGAAAACAGCTCTGCCGTGAAGGGCTCCTATCTGCAGTGTCTCACGACAGGCCCGTGGCTGCTTTCAACTCTGATTGAATTGGGAACATTCTCTGTTTGGTTTTGAGATCAATCTACTGATATATTTTTGTTAATAAAGCTACAAATCAACCAGACTGAGCTAATAAATTACACGAAARGCACACTTTTTTGTTTAAGGATCACGAGAAATAGTTTTTCATAACATTAAGACATCTGGCTAATTATTTTTTAAAGAGGGTAAGAGATGTGACCATGTTTTACCTGCTTAGATATTTTCTACTGTGAGGATCTTGCTGAGGTTCTAAGGCCAAAGTCTCAACATCAGTTAAAGATGCGACTGCACTTTCTCCTACTTAGTATTATGGAATGGCATCTTAAGTATGAAAGATGTCTCATATAGTATGTCAAAATGTTGAGCAATATCGTTTCACTCTAAACACAGAAATGAAAAAAGAGCAGATGATTTCCCTTTTGCTGTAATTCACTTTGGGATGCATGTCATGAAGAGCACTAGACAAAAGCAATTTTCATTGATTGACTGACTGATTGAGGCAAAGGGCGAATGTTCTTTCAGTTACATCCCTACTGAAGTACGATTCTTACAGCTCCTGACAGCTCTTCACAATTTGTAGTTAAATGTCGTGTTAGCAAAAATAAATAAATAAAAAATGAGAGAGAGAGAGAGAGGGAGAGAGAGAGGGAGAGAGAGAGAGAGAGAGAGAGAGGGAGGGAGGGAGGGAGGGAGGAAATCACAATTAGAACTTCTCTGGGTCTTTAGTACAGCTGGCTTGAGCTAAATAGATAAATAGACGAGGGCGACAAATTCAAATCTAACTACTCTAGTCCTCTGCACAAAGATATGGGTGTTAGACACTCTAATTACTAAAAATATCTTGAGTTAATTGCATAATCTAATCAGAGATACTGACAATCACATCATTCTTGTTCTACTTCAGTGGAAGCTGCTACTATTTCTAGAGCACCTAGTTTTAAATGGAATTCTGATTTTGAGATGAATTCTGCATCAGCCTCCTATTCTTATCATTTCAAATAGAATCAACCCCATCTCTGAAGTGCTCCTCTAATTCTATAAAACATGCTCCATTCACCGTATTTGAATGAATCTGTGTTATAACTCAGGATATAACTACGTGGATGCTGATCTACTGGTTACAATGCATACACCCCAATCAGTGCTGAAACATTTCACATGACTACTACACAACTACTACTTTACAAATTACTGTAGCAGACCAGTGTCTAACGCACTACCCATCAGTGGTGGTTAGTGACCTGACCCCTGGGACTGTTGGTCTGTTCTAGTTTATCCAACTCTTGGCATAACAGCACTGTGGGAGTCACACCCCTCTCCATGTAAACTGGACTGTCAGGTCAAAACGTGCTGATGAGGCGAGAATCCTTTCTTGATATATATAGATTCACTTAATGAATCTTCAAGCAGACTAAACTTTAATGCTTGTCAAGTTAGATTGGGTTGCAAAATATGGAAGATGGCTTATCTGAAGAATATCCAGAGATGAACTAAAGCCACAGAGCCATTTATAATAAACACATTTGCAGGTGAGAGGCACTTAACCTGTCCTTCCCGGGCTGCGGCACGCAAACAGGAAGGTCCGTGAGGATGCTGGAACCCTCAGCAGGCCCTCGTATGTCGCAGCAGGCCAGAGGAGCTGTACCTGCTGGAGTTTGGAACTGACACTCTTCTTCCAGTTACGCTTCCAGCAAAACAGGTCCAGGTTGGAGGAAAGCAGTTCAAAGTAGTAAATAATTGCAGTATCATTACATCAGTTTAGTTTAAAGAGCTGACAAACCCCCTCTAAACTCCAAGCACAATTAGTCATTAGGGTCTAGTTTTTCAGCACTGTTAAGCAATTTGTAACCCATTCCTTTTAATAGGGTTAGGCATTACTTAACCACACAGATGCCTTGAAAACTGAAACCTCAAGATATGAAGCAACAACCTTGTTCATTACCTTCTGTGATAGGCAAATCATCTATAAAAACAGCTTTTAATGGGCAACCGATGAATAATCAATGGCTCACTTTTCATCTGAGTGTGAGAATGAGAATAATCTAATACAAAGTCCCTCCGGTAAGAGGCCGAATCTTGGGCCCCGCTGCTCTTCAGGGCTGATTTATAAGGTTTTGGAAAGCTGATGTAAACAGATGATCAATGGGACCCATCCTGCTCATAATAACCCCCAACTGGCTCACTCCCTCTTTTCCAGGTCCATCCCTCAGGCTATGCGCTCTGTCCAGCTAATTCTTCCCACTGCCCCTGCCTGCTGCTTTTACTCTGGCCATCCGTTCAGTCCAGCCGACTCACAAGTAATTTTATACGCAGCAGAGAGCGGGTGGAATTGATTTTTCACTCAGCACTCAGTTCCCATCTGAATAATTATCAATTTTACTGCCTCATAAAGGGAAGAGTCAAAATTTCAAATCAATTCAAAAGAGCTTTTGAGACGACAGAAACTGTGCATAAGAATAGAGGTCAAAGTTGTCAGTGACCTGAGGAGATGATGTCAGATATTACTATACCCAACAGTTGACATCAGAGCACTCAAGATGATACAACCTGGTGCTAATGCAAATCATATTTATGCTGACTACCAGAGACCAGTCATTAATATTTAAAATGCTATCTGAAAGCCTACATTCCAAATAAATAGAATGGATTCCACTGTTAATAAAGATATATCACTACTTAGTCGTATGCTGCAAAGTGAAGGATTACCAAGTATCATTAACACACAGAAATGGCTTAAGCCAATAGGCTAGGGTAGCCCAGGAAGACCCTTGGCTCCCAGGGTTTGAGCACTTGCTCAAAGCCTCCTGACTTTGCTCATATTTTCTACCAACTGTCTGCTGAAGTTTATGGGGCAATACTGCAATGTATGGCTGAAAGCTGGCAGGAGGACTTGGTGGTGGACCTGCTCTTTGCCATGGTAGGGCTTGGTCTGCTTTCTGGCCAGTCCACAGATATTTATCTTGTTCAGCGAGGATGCGCTCCAAGTTGGTGGTTCTCAACCTTCTCCACGCAACACACGCAAGGGCTCTGATACTCCCAACCCCATCAGAGTCCCCTGTATCTGGCTGGGGATGGAGATGGCTGGTGGGAGAGAGGAGCACCAAACCTTGATGGAGAGGGCATTCCAGGGGACCCGGCAACACGATAGTCAACGGTGCGAGGAGTGAGGACCAGGCATTGGCGCTCAACAGCCCTGGTTCAAGTTCCGCTCCTGCGTAACCCTGCTGCCCCTCAGTGTGTGCATTGTCAAGTGCCGTGGTAGCATCCAGATTCCAGGGCTGTTGTGAGTSTTAACGGGAAGCCCCCTGCGAGAGCCTCCCCGTCCCTGTCATCACTGTATCCATGGAATTACCAAAACACTGGCTGGTTACTCATCTCTGTCCTTCACAACAAGGAACTTTTGAAGGACAGAAATCAGGTCTTCCGTGTCGGAACAGCTCCTGTCCCTTGTGTGTAGTGAGTACTCAACAGATGTGAGCTAGACATCACCCACCTGCACAAACAGCTCTGGGTGACAGCACTCTGCTATTGCTTAAAACATGAACTATGCTCCCCTCCCCCTCCTCAGAAAAGAACTGGTTAAATGAAATGTCCCCACAGACAAAGTTTACACAATTTCATTTCCATATCAGCAAAAACAACAGCCAGGAAGAAGCCTGTCCATGCTGTCCTATGCTATTTTTATCATTTTTTACTTACAGTGACTTTTCTGCGGGTTGCAGGTGACTTGTTTGCTCACTAATGACACTGTAGCAAGACACTGTTGAAGTATTTATGTTTGTAAATCAAAGTCTATTATGGATATAATTTGGCAAGAGAAAACAACAATATAAAAATATTACATTCCAAACTTAGCGGAAGAGTGTAGTGGCAGTATAGCCATAAAAAATGGCATTATTCTTTTCAAAACATGCCTGGCGTGGTGTCACTGTGAACTGCAAGACTTTTAAAGAACAGTGTTGAATCTAAACCCCATTCGCCAATTAGAAAATATAATGATATGGTTTTATCACTTACTAATTAAATGCTCCTGGGAATATTCTTTCATCTGTCTGAACTGTGACTCCTCATCTTAAATTGGGAGCAACACTAACTACAATCTGATGAGTGGCAGTGCCTAGCTGGCTGCCTGGCAAAGCCTAGGAGCCCAGCAAAGGCGAGGTGGCCTCACCAGACACGCCAGAGCCCGACCAGGGCAACTACACGACACCCTCAGAGGCTCCAGAAAGAAATTGGAGATCACCACTTCTAGTTCCAGTTCTGCCCTCTTTTTTTCAGATCTCTGGAAGAACTGTCTGTTTTTGAATTCTAGCCTGACTGAGGTGAGGTGGAGGACATCTGGATCTCTTGAGGGTGGGTGAACCTGGGGCCACTCCCACTTTCAAGGAAAATACTCAGAGAATAAGCTCTACCGGGTCAGCTGGCTGTTCCCATAGCTTTCCCATGTTCACATGTGAACACAGCCCAGTGAGACTCCATGTGGCACACGACCCTAAGAATAGGATGCTCATCAGAACAAGCCATACTCCACGCATGTGTAACACACCAAAATACACTCTGCAGTCATGTCTGTCTAAGGAGAACAACTGAAAAACAGAAACAAAAACAACAACAAAGAACGCTTGTTCTTGGTGTTCAGGGACCAGGCTGCCTCTGGGCCACTGTTTCTTAAGCTAGGTTACCTGCTGCAGGACATCTGGGTTTTGCTGCATAAAATGTAACAGTCTCTGACCAGCCTGGGCAGCCTCTCTGCAGCGAAGTGGCTTCTTGCCCTCTTTCGCTATGTGCTTGAAGAGGTAGGTGACGATGTAGTCTAGACTGGCACAGCAGCTGGAGCAGACGACCGTATCTGTACAGGCGACAGAGAGAGATTCACTGCATCATGGAAGCGTGTGCAGCTTTGGACACTCTACTGTCTCCATTAAAAGAGAATCACCACCTGGTTTCAAAACAATTCCACCAAACTCAAGTTGCTTGAGGGCACACTGCCTTGCTTCTTTCCTTAAGCCAAGTGTGGACCACAGGGCCTAGCAAGGAGACACCTTCGTATGCAAATTATTCCTAGCTGGCACTAGCCGGAGTTCTCTGTTTGGGACTTAACTGTGTATGTTCAATTCAAGTGACTGTTTATTAAGCATCTACCTGGTGCAAAAAGCTCTGAGCTTTAGGGGAAACCCACCCAGGGTCAAATAGCTCATACTCTGGCACACAAGTCATCACTGCACACTGCTCTGGAGAAATGGGTAACATACGGCTAAGGACTCTGAGGGAGATCACACAGAGATGGGAATCCAGGAGAGCTTGGTGAAGAAGGCATCCCCTGACACAGGCTGGCAATTTAGATCTCAGGAAGGATGTTTTTCAGGTAGAGATCAGTATGAGGCGGGAGAGTGGGAAAGGGGCAGATGCTGGAGCCACAGATTCTGGTTTCAAATCCCACTGTTTCCAATCACCCGCTGTGTTGGTACATGGAAAGCACCACTTCATTTTTCTCTATGTGTTAGTTACTGTGTTCAATGATTTGCATGGATTGTTATTTTTAATCCTCACAACAGCACCCTAATGATTACTCTTGTCATTACCCTCATTTATAGGTGAGGACACTGAGGCTTAGAGAGATGAAGTGAGTTGTCCAGCTGGACCCCTGTGCAGCCAATGTATGAAAATAAGCAAGGAGGCGGCAGAGTTTGGACTCAGATTCTAAACCACTATGTTAAAACCAGGTATTAAGCAAACATGTCCATAAGCATCCAAAGCCTTATATCACAGTGGGCGCTTGAGAAACTGCATGTCCTACTGGTTTGCCATCGTAGTAAGAAGGATGTACTCAGGAAGCAGGACCTTGACTTGAGTGAAGAATCTATAGGGAGTCAGAGAGAAGGCTGACACAGTAGGTTGGGGTCTTAGTCAAGGGGGTGCAAAGRGGGATGAGGTACATTTAATTTGAAAATCAAGAGAGGTGCCACTGAAGGCTTGAGCGAGCAGCTGACATAGTGCAGCAGCCATATATATCGAGACTCTTTGTACACTAAAATGATCATCTCATTAGATTTAACAACTATTTTGTAATTAGGTATTATTTACATTTTTAAAATGAGAAAAGAGACCTGGGGATACAACATAGTGGTAGAGTTTGCCTAGCATGTATAAAGCCCTGGGTTTGATCCCAGCACTGCAGGGAGATGTGGGGAGCGACACACACACCCCACTAAAACTCAAGAGATAAAATCGTTTATCCAAACTCCATGATTTTTCAACTCATAGCTTGACACTGCCCATATTTTAAGGCTAACAATGACATCTTGACACCCCCTGGGAGTTTCTGATTATATTAAAGAAACAATTAAAAATGGTGAATATAGTAGACTCAAAAGAGAAGTAGGTGGATTATAAACTTTGCAAGAGAAGAGTTTCTTACTCATCTTACTCACGGCTAAGATTCTGAGACCCATGTATATCCCACATAGATTAAAACTGAAATACTAGCTGAATCACTTAAAAGAATGGGAAGCTAAAGCTATCCTGAAAAAGTTTTCTAGAGAAGATCTTGAGCTGTATTTAGTAGCAATACCTCGCACTGACACAACACTGTAGTTTAAAAACTCACATCATTTCAGAGACAGGTCATGGAAATACGAAGGAGGAGGTTTTTGGCAAATTCTGAAATACAGAAGGGACAACAGGAGCTGACACAGAATCGGGGGACCAGAGGTGAATGAAAACCTACAAGACAGGCCTGGACAAGGCTTTTAAGAAAGAAGTTTCTTTCCCCTCTACTAGAGCTGTGGCATTTGACTGATCAATTAATTGGCAAATTGATTTTTTATCTCTTCCTGGTAACTGGGTTACTTTGTAGGAGGGGAATTTTGGTTTTCTAACCCTGGGAGACAGAACAGGCCTAAGAGTCAGGCAGATCTGTTGAGTGGGGTTGTTTTTCTTTTCCCTTCATATTTCTACATTTGGAGTCCCAGCCATGGAAGTACACAGACAAGTAACTTAACATCCACAAAGGCAAGGAGGAACGATAGGGTTCCCCTCACCAGCRAAGAGCAATATGCTATCAATCAAACACAAATTTTAAAGACTTCACATAGATGTGGTGACCACGTGCCATGAAGATTGCATTAAAAGGCTCCAATCCTTGGAGTCAGCTGTGGGAAAGCCAGGTGAACACTTCAGAGGCAGAGGCCGGGCAGCACCCTCGCTGTGAGGAGACCTTCCATTACGGCTGATTTATGGCTGGGAGTTTTGAAAAAGAGAAATGGTATTTCCAGGTGGATTGAAAAGTACGGAATCCCAAGGATCAAGGGCATTTGGTCAAAAGCAGAATGAACAGTGCAGAGGACTCTACCTTCTTACTGGCTTCTTTATCTGCAGCACAAGATACCGTGTGAGATTCAAATCCTGAGACTCTCCTGACAGGAAGGCCAGGAGATATCAGGAATTTTCAAATTTTGTCCTAATTCTTGGTGTTGAGTCTTTTCAAAAGGATTATAGCCAAATTTAGACAATGCTGTAAGTGATTTTTAGCCTGCTATGTACTTAGTCCTCTCTGGCAGCTTGTTTCACACTGAGGAGCCAAGTGCTCCTTCTTCCTGCGGGGGGCCTGCAGGAAGCACATGCATCATTAACAGTCTCCGGCTCACCAAGGCCCAGGCCAGGCAGCACTGAGAAGTTAACTCTGCAGCAAAGAGTGCTTCACTCAGGGTCAGGGAGGGCCATAACGGGGTGGAGCCCTTGGCTTAAGCTCAACACTCACCACGACACAGGGGAGGATGAAGGTCTTGGGACCTTGAAAGGCAATTTCCAAGACAAAACGCCTATTTGGGAGGTGCAGCAGTTTCAAAAACCGGACAAGTGTGGGTCTAAATCTACATTCCTTCCATGTCTGACTTCCCTGAGCTTCACCTGCAGTCTGTAGCAAGTGCTTAACACTGCCTACACAGCACACCGCGTGAGGACCCACCCGGCACTCAGCTTCCTACCAAGGTGGCCCGCTTCCCTCTGGAGCGCGCTGGGATGGGCAGCATCTCCAAGCTCTTCAGAGTTCCTGGGATTCTGCTCTCATAGTACATGCAGACCACATATTTAAGAATGTGTTTGAAATTATAAGTTGCCCACTTTTATTCTCACATACATTTAATTAAGAATGAACTTCACAGGAAGACCCGGTGGCTCCTAGTGCCTCAGTCTGGCTCACTCCCCTGTCCCAGCAGGGACACTGTTCTCTCCTTCAGAAGCTTATAATCAGGTATAAAACTAGGACAACCAGTGCTCCTGGAGAACTGCCCACCTAGGGAGTGCTGAGAACGCAGGGGTGGACATGGAAGGCCTACAACCACACACTTGAATCCAAGATCGGCCTTCCCTCTGCACTGTTACTTTGTTAAGAGTCCCTTGGTCTCATTAGAATATACAGATTTCAGGACTGATCAAGATCACGCTTTGAGAATAACACAGCTGCTTGCAACTAATTCAAAATCTTTAGTATTACTATGATGTGAGATTAAAAAAAAGACTGTCAAGCTACACTGTAATAATAAAAGACAAGACTTCTTGCCCATGAAGAATTAGATGCTATGAGAATTCGCCCTCTTGCCGTGGTAAACAAGAAAACAGGACAAAATATATGAAACAATGTTTTTCAATTATTGCACAACAAGCAGCATAGGCCTATTAAACCAGAGAAGAGGGAGACAGATGTGGTGGTACTGACAAATATGGAAGCCCACTGCCCAAAGCAGCTTCCAAGGCTGCAGGCCAGGACAAGAAACCCAAGCAAAGCCCGTGATCTCCTGAGCTGCAGAGAGGGAGACTGGTATCTGGGGAGCGGAGGCAGCTGGGATTTGTGGTGCAGACCACTGGAGTGTGGGGCCTGAAGAAGAGAAGAGGCCCAGAGAATTGCAAGGGAGTCCTTTCCAGGGTGCATCTGAACAGTGAACTGTACAAACGGCAGCACAAGCTCCCCATGGCTGAAAAGCAGTGGGCCACACGATCCCTGAAGGTTACGAAGAGTTGGGCATAACTCACCATACAGAGAGCACTGAAGTGTCCTTACAGGGGTCACACCTCAGTAGAGGGGTTCAGTTACTCCAAAATAAAGGCTGCTACTTCATCTCAAATCTCTAAAGGGTACTCAATTGAAAGAACAAAATTCAAAAATCTTGGAAAAAAAAATCAAAAATCAAAATTCAACACTAAACAACATAAAAATCACAATGTCTGGCATCCAATCAAAAATTGCAAGGCACAGAAAATGAAAAAATATGAGCCATAAAGAAAAAAATAAATCAATAGAAACAGATCCAGAAATGACTTTAGTAGACAAGGACTTTTAAAAAGTTGTTATGAATCTTTAAATATTATCAAGGTTAAAGGAAAATATGAATCTGATGGGGAGAAAATGGAACATATAAAAAGGCCTGAACCCAGGCATGGTGACAGCTGCCTGTAGTCCTATCTACTTAAGTGGCCAAGGCAGGAAGATCACTTGAGCCCAGGAGCTCAGGGCCAGCCTGGACAAAAAGTTAGACTTCCCATCTCTTTAAAAAAACAAAACAAAAACCCCAAATTCAGTTTCTGAGAATAAAAACACAATGTCTGAAATGAAAGAAATATTAGATTAATAGCAGATTAGTTAATGTAGAACCAAAGATCAGTGAACTTGTGATACAGCTCTAGAAACTACTCAAAATGAAGTACAGAGAGACAAAAAGCAAACAGAACAGACCCCCCCCCCCCCCAAAAAAAAAAAAAACATAACAAAACAAAACAAACCAGACAGTGTGTCACCGACTTATGGACCAAGACCAAGAGTAAGAGGTACACAGCACACATGTAACAGGAGCC